AAAGAGGCACTTTGACCATAAGTAAAACTTTTACAGAAAAAAATGTATGCAGAAGTCAAGTTCACAGTTTTTTAAAACTGTACTTGTACTCAACTACAATACAAAAATCATGTCTGACTCATTGCTTTCTAATAACTGTGTAGTAGAACTTTTCAAGATTTAGATTACGCAAATTAAAACATGCGATATATATACCCATAGGCAAGTGCAATTAGAATAAAATTAAATGTTAGAACGAGCAATGTTCAATTTGAAAACCCATTATAAAACAATGAACTAAAATTACAATTTACCTCCAAAGCAAAACATAAAAATATACAAAACTAAATTCTGATGCCACATGTGACAAAAATCAAAGCCCCAAATTTACTTAATTTCCAATTTGTGTAACACTAACTATATGGAATACTCATTAATCCTAGCTAGTTTTATTAAAGATAATTTAAACATGATAAGAAGATGATAATTTAACATAGCTGGTACATGAGCTTCAAAAAAATACAGCTCAGATTAAAAGGTTTTGCACTTGGAAATAAAATGCTGTAAGTGTAATGTTGGCAAGGGAATAGCTTGAAAAGAAACAAATGCATAATGAACGATAATTTGTACAAAAATGTCAAAAGAAAACAGGACGAAAAGAAGCATAAACCTGAAAATACAGGCAGGTAAAAAGGCAAACAGAAAACTGCAAAAGTTTAAAATACAAACAACTTTTTGGAGAATGGTTTACTGACAGAAGTGTTATTAAAGGGGTAAGGCCGCCTTAAGTGACTGTTGATGTAATGTGAAACTGTCCTTGTGTTTCAAAAGGAAATAGAAGGCAATTTGGAAGGAGAATCTAGTATTTTATCAAACGTCACTTTGAGCTTTTTTTCAGTCACCCCTTCAACTGATATTCTTACTACTGTATTTATTAAACAGATTCTGATAGAACTTGTGACTAGAATAAGAGTCTGCTTGTACATGTATATGAGTATTGTTAAGAGTCCTGCATTTGTGTGTGATGGAACGTATGCCTTAGCAAATTTTGTGGTATTGAGTGTGTAGTGTCTACCTTACAGAATATGTCATACTCTACATGTACAAACAAACTGAGGCCTGCAGACTACAGTCAAACCCCACAATGGTGACCATGGAGAGAGAGAGAGAGTAATCATTGTAGAGAGGTACCTGGTCATTATGGGGAAGTAGAGGTGTAATACGTGTATGACAACTGATTTCATTTTGGAGGAGGGGTGCAACATTTCTTTTTTTCAAAAAAAAAAAAAAAAATGCTTGTCAGTAGCATAATATATGGATTTAGGCCAGCCTAAAAGCGAAGCTCCTGGGCCGGGTTGTTCATTTGGACTATTTGGAGTATGGCCGCCATTTTGGGCATCTCCATCGCCATCGTCGCCGTTGTGCGTACACACCCATGAGCAATACCGCTAGCCATGATAACCATGAGAAAATCNATAATAATAATAATAATAATAATAATAATAATAATAATAATAATAATAATAATAATAATAATAATAATAATGATATCCTCCCTGTGCCACCCCACTGTGTAAGACTGTGTTGTGTGCAATTTTCTCAACCTCGTCCCCAGGGTCCTCTCTCTACCCTGAGAGAGAACCCTGGGAACCAGGTTGGTGATTTCTGCGAAAAAGTAGAACCACGTCAACGTCGACAGCAAATATCATGGCCGAAGAGGAGAGTATTCGGCTGTACAAAATCGTGCTGGCTGGTGATCTCGGTGTAGGCAAGACCTCCATATTTCAAAGGTACGACATCAACAAGTTTTTTGAGAACAAGGAATCGACGTTTGGCCTGGACAAGTTGACCAAAGATGTTAAAGTGGACGGAAAGCGATGCAAGGTTAGTTGGATCGAAGCTATTCGAATTTATCTGATGTAGAATCGCAACATTAACAGATCAAGGGATTATGATATGAATACCTCACGTTTTGTTAAGAATATGCATTGGATATTTGCCATACTAAAACATCATGACCACGGTACAACCTAAGGAAAGTGCCTCAAATTTTGATGCAAGCTATTCACTCAGAAGTTATGCACATTTTTTCAAAACTATTTGGCTTTCAGTATTTAGTTTCATGCAGATGTTTTTCAATAGCTACATAACTTAAACTGCATAGGACTTAAAGAAGTATTTTTAAAAAATACTGAGTTAACTGTGATTGTTTAAAAGCACACGGAGTAGAATACTTCTGGAAAACACTGCATGTGCCATTGTGAACAAGATTTTGTTTTAAAAAAAAGAAAAGAAAACATAATTTAAAGGAAAAAAATCATTTCCTTGTTTCCACGTATTACTGCACCTGGAAAGAACATGTGCAATTAGGAATTTAAACTTGAGCAATTAATGTGTGTCTATATATAAATGGACCAACCAATCACATTTTATTCCTGCGGCATGTTGAAAAGTGAGATAGTTTGCATGTAATGGAATGAGCCAATTGGCTTAATGGCTTATGTTCTCAGGTGTGTTTAATGTACTGTGTTGTCATAGTTTCTTAAAAAGCTAAAGTTGAGCTTCAACACTTTGTGACCTGGGGCACAATTTGCAGGCTGTTGTTAAAAAAATTTGCAAATATGATGAAAAAGATCCTCCAGAAAGGAAGGAGCTTGAGAAGGGAATCTCTGTCTCGCATTGTAGGACGTGAATATAGGTAACCATTAAAGGGAAGTCTGTTAGTGGATGTTTCACTGGCTGAGAAATAAGATGAATTACCAGTAATTCAGCCCCAATTGCCCTAAATTCATGTTGCAGTGTATAAATTTTTTTGTATGGCAATTCTATAACTGTGAAAATTTCCATAGACTGTAGGGAAGATAGAGGGGTGGTCAGAAGTTTCCATGTTCCATTCTCTTTTCTATTCCCGTGACAAACATGGCCAATTTTTTCAAGTTTATCATTTCGCCATTTTATAATCCTCCTAAGTCTTTGTCAGTTTAAGCCATTCTTGTTTATTTTCATTTTCTATTCCATAGAAAACTATTGAAGTGACCTTCAAAAAGTAATAAGAAAAATGACATGAAATATTGTGACATTGCTCCTTCAAGGCCTTGAATTTTGATTTTCAAATTCAAGCACTTTCAAGTTGTATGCAAAACCTGTACTGTAAGCTGACTATGAGATGAACTCAGTGACCTTAAGTACATGTAATTGACTAATTATTGTTATTTTGAATCTTTACAAGGTTAATGTGTGGGATACAGCAGGAATGGAACGAACAAGGTCCCTAACATCAAACTACTACCGTGGTTCTCAAGCTGTTATCCTTGTGTATGCTATTGATGACATGTACTCTCTGACTGTGTTACGCAACTGGATAGTTGACATAACAAAGGATGCCCAAAACGCCTTGAAATTTCTTGTTGGCAATAAAATAGATCTTGCAGATGAAGTATCACAAGTCGATGATCAACTAGCAGAGTCATTTTGCAAGAACAATGGAATACAAAAATTGTATAGAGTTTCGGCCAAGACTGGTGCTGGAGTCAAAGAGATGTTTGATGACGTTGTAAAGATGTTGATATCCAATAAGGAGTCCACTGTAATACGGGATAAAAGTGCCTTTTCAGTCTATGCGGATGACAGCAAGACATCAACCTCAAACAATGGCTGCCCATGTTGACAGATTTATAAACCATTCCAAAGTTATATTATATTATAAAAATTAACTTTTAAGGCAGGATTATGACACTAGCATGCAAATCAGATAGCATAGATTTCTAAACATAACTAGTGCATTGCTGTTAGTAAGTAGCCTCAATAAGTCTCCAGTGAGGGAGCACCATAGCTGAAGTCATAAAAGTGATTTAAGGTCAAGAAGCATTCATCCTATTCTCGCAGCTTCCAAGGTTTTATCCTAACCAACAAAGATTGTACTCTTCCTGGTCCAAACCGTATCTGCCTTTTGGGGGGCAGATGTTGACATCTCCCGTGATTTATTACAGTACAGATGCATGGCAACCTGGAATCTACTTGACGTCATCTATGCATGTATGCATCTGTCCTCTATCAAATCATATGTAAGAGCTATTCAAAATGCAAGAATTATGCAAGAATTATAAAACTTATATTGATGGCTCCTAGCCTTAGAGAGGGACAGTTTATTTTTCTTCTGAATTAAGACATGTTGGTGTGTATTATGTAGCATGGATTAATTCTGGTTTGGTTTATTGATGTGGATTATTATTTTCACTTGCATATTCTATTAAGCTTCTCTTGAACCCCAAGAGAATTGCAAATCGGTTAGAGAAATCAAAAGTTCAAAGATGTCAGGAATAAAATTACTAACAGTAAAACAAATCCAAGCAAGTCTAATATATAATAATAATTGGTCTTTCTGGTTTTTTACTAGGAAAATGTTCTTGCAGACATTCTTAAAAAATTCAGTTTTTGTACAAAATTATGTAGACTGGGGCATGTCCGTCTTTAGTCAGCAAAGCAGCAAAAAAGAGGCAAGTACCATCCAGAAGGGGACTGCTAGCATTCTATTGATTATTAATATTGAAGGTTTTCATGCAAAAAGGGTGTACATCGCTTTTTGGGCCAATTTTTATTTTTTGCAGGATAGAGCTAATTTTTGGCAGACTGACTTGTTTTGACAAGAAAAGCATCATTGCATAATTGTTTGTTGATTTGCACTTCGTTTTCAAGAAATAACGTATGCAAAAAAACTCACTTTTCCAAGCGGTATCTTTTGGAGCGAATCCTTCGAAGGTAGATTTCAACGTGATGGAACTTAAACGGTTACTTTTAGCAGCTTCAACAGCACGGTTTTTTTTAAATAGATGTTTTTATTTTTGAAAGAAGTAGAGAAATAGAGCAGAAAAAAAAATTGACCAACCTCGTATCAAACCGGTGTTACAACAAAACAAACTCAAATCCGGCCCATTCAGCGCCTTATTTGCTTGCTCTAACAAAGCAACAGTAAGAGATTGGCGTAATTATATGAATAATAAAACTTGTATCGGTTTGAACAACTAGCGGCAAATGCCACACTTCAGTGACTTTGTTTTGCAAAACAAAAGGTTTCTCTTTTTTTTCGTTTAACAAAAGATCTCCAAAAGATACCCTTGGAAAACTGACTTTTTTGCATACGTTATTTCAGTCCAAAACGAAGCGCAAATCAACAAAAACAATTACACAACAATGCTTTTCAAGTCAAAACAAGTCAGTCTGCCAAGAATTAGCTCAATCCTGAAAAAATGAAAATTGGCCCAAGAAGTGATATACGCCCTTTTTGCGCAAAAGCCTTCAATTGGTAATTGGAGGTTTCATACAATAGGCTACTTTCGTTAGATTAAAATTCAGCTTGATAGTGAGGCCTAGAGGACACAAACAAAAGAAATGAATAAACATGGTCATTCAATTTCCTTTGTTGGTGTCCTCTAAGCCTCACTACCAAGCTGAAATTTAATATATCGAAAACAGTCTATTTAGGGAGTAATCCTGGACATAACAATAATTATGAAATTATTATAATTTTCATTCGTGACCTGCTACTTACAAAAGACTGCCCAGAATTGTGCAGGGGAGTAAATACGATTATCCAAACTAATAATAATTATATATCTTACTGAGCAAGGTAGAGAATTAGACGTTTAATTAATTGCAAGAAGGTTAAAAATTCTAACACTTAATAACACTTAGAGATAAGGTTTTACAGTTATCTTTTTTAAAATTAACGAATATTGGTATTTTACTCTTTTGGTCTTAATTCGTAATGATTATTTAGTGAATACTAAGAATTTCTGTGGCAGTACAATACTGAATTGATTTTGTTGTGTAGTCGCTTACTTCATGTACTTAAAATTATAAAAACTTATAACCCCTACAGAAAGTTTTATTTACAATCCTTATTTTTTTAATCAAAAAAATACTCTGGTATTTTAATTTTGTGATCCCTTTCTTTAAAACGATTTACATGACATTTGGGGTACATATGTTTTTTGGTGATATTTGTGAAATACAGTTTCTGTTAATTTTCTTGTGTAGTGGCTTACTTCATATATAGCTACAACGGAGTTCAAACAGAAAAATGCTTAAAAAAAAAAACAACAGAAAAAGGCTACAAGCATTCTGAATTTGATATGCAGTGGATACCCTTCTAGTTTAGATCTTGACTGTTTGAACATTCCCTTAAGTGCTTTGAATTTAATACTTTATCATTTGTGGTCATGGGAAAGGAGGAGAACAAACTTCCTATTATGTTGTGCTGCTTAACAATCACAGCTACACTGTGTTTCTGGTTAACCTGTTAGCTTGAATCCATATTTAGCTGTAAAAAAAAAAACACCTTTCAAACAGCCTGATAATGGGTGCAAAATTGAATGAGGAGCAAAATATATAGGGGGGGAGGGACTCTCAGGGGGTGGAATTAATGTTTGCTTGATCTATTGAAAATTTCATATTTTCTCTCTTCTTTCCTATTATTAAATTCTGTTGTTCCCTAACATTTTTTTTTTTTGTCAAAGTTCCCTTTAACAGTAAAGATAACATCCCTTATTCCCTCAAATAAATCTCAAAAGTAGCCCTTATTACCCTGAAATGAATGATGTTATTGTTTCCTAAAAACCCCTGGGAGGCCCTCACCTGCACATTCGGCTGCCATAATTTACACTATATTAAATCAGAGGATGCCCAGGTTCATGATAGGACCACTCAGTCATGTCAGTTGTGCCAAAATTACCATAAAGATTTGCATAAAACTTTTTTTTAGCTAAATTGGGTTGGCTACATTATTGTCAGTGTTATTGTCACAGGCACGTTACTCAAAGAAAAGTGATGAGGGTCTTTTTTTTAAGTTAGCAAATTAAATGGGTATTTGGCTAATTTCAGTATTTTTTGGAGGGGGGGGGATGAGTAAAAGAATTTCTTTGATTTTGGTTTTGAGACGAGTGGGATATTCTCATAATAGTTGTTTACAATGTTGGAGATAAATTAAAAATTATTTAATCAGGTCCTTTCTAATTCTGTTATTCTTTTAATAAAACTAAAATGCTAGAATATATGATTGCAAAATAATAATTATTACATGTAAGTGACTATGAAGTAAAAAAAAAAGAAATAATTGCTGCTAATTTGAAAGACTTTTCAAAATAAACTGTGAGAATGACGTTTTCCTTTTTGAAATATCATCTTTCATTTTAGAGATATTTATTACGATTTTGTGTTATGCAAATGAGGAAAGTGATTATGTCATAAATGCATGTACAAATAGAAATTTATAATGTAGTTCCAATAAAATAAGAATCTAGAAATATAAAGGCAGTGTTTTTCATCCTTGGCATCAAAAATGTACATGACAAAAGAATCAGAATGTCAACAGTCATGCCATTGCTACAGCAACACTCTTGGCTCCAGTTTCTTTCTGTCAGAAACCAAATACATCCCCATTTGCAAGTGTTTATCCCAATGATCATAGAATAAAATTTAAAAATAATGTTATCCCTCATTTATGTTATATATAACACTACCTAAAACTAACATTATGTACAGTACATCTACATGTCACAATAAAACATTTAAAAAAATAAAGCACTATTAATGTCAATATTAGTATTACTCGTACTACCCCTTTCTATTAATAGAGCGGTTTTCAATTGTCATAAAACCAAAACCAAATCAATTACTTAAACAAACTAGACCACTCAGCCAATCTCACTGAAACCATAGCAAAACCAAAACCAAACATGTTTACTTTCCAGCACTCAATTTAAAACCTCTCCAAGTAATAAAAAAGTGTTACTAAACTTCATGATAAAATCCTTATTACTTATTTGTCATTTTAACCAATCTGATTGGTTTGCTATAGGCGATTCCACGCTGTCTACCTTGTACATCAAGTGGGTAGATAATGGATCATCATGTAGACATAATTTACATTATTATTATGGCTTGTGTTTGTAGACGATATAATGCACGCTCTGATTGGCCAATTGTAGGGCATTTATTTATTCTCTCCGTAATGCCCATGGGCTGATTATGGGCCCCCAAAAACAAAGCAAAAAGCCATAATTATAATAAACAACTTATTACCCTTAAATATTCAGTCTTTGTGGGAAAATCTCAAACCTCAGTCTTGCTGTATTGACCTCGCTATCGCTCGGTCAATACGTCAAGGTCTCGGTTTGAAATTTTCCCATAAAGACCTCACTCAGGGTTAATAAGTAGTTAGTACTGATCCTCTGAATAACTGAACCTTGGAAATTGCCAGGACTTCAAAACATTTTCACTAACAAAACACATTATTACTAACTTTAAAAGTTGTTTCTAATGTTAGCGATAGCAGCATTTCTTTTTCCTGCAAGGTACTTCCATTTGCAAAGTAACAATCTCATTAGTTCCATTACAAGAGAATTGGGCAGATGAGCTGCCTTCAGGGCATCCCTCCAAGCATGTAGAACGACCTATGGATTTCATGGGCGTGGCTTTTTTCATCAAATGAGAAGCTACTGATTGTAGCATTTTCTCTATTCCCTCACCGGTCACAGCAGAAGTTCTAAACTGAAGTGCAAAGGCATCAGTGGAAATGGCTGCCATCTCATCATCATCACTGACAGTTGCCACCAAGTCAATCTTATTTCTAATCAAAATAAAACAAGCTCCTTGTGCATCCATTTTGGCTAAGGGTAGCAGTTCAGCAGCTTGACTAAGTGAATCTATATCAGTTGCACTGTACACAAACAGAACGGCTTGGCTAAGTAGAAAGTGAGAGCGTGTCAACTTGGCATGTGCCTCAAGCCCAAGAGTGTCCCACAGATCAAGCTGCAAATCAAAATGGAGAACTTCACGTCAGAAATGCAAAGATTGATTGTGAAGTATATCAAACACTTATGTACTAACTACAAATAAGAATTAAAATAATAAAATATCTTAACTGACCACTGTACTCCCACAAAGGGGCTTTTTCAGGGCCAATGAAACCAAATAATGAAACAAACAATACAAATGAACATAACATGGTTAAAAATCCCAACTGAGCAGCTGAGGAGTTCAACTACTACAGGGTCTACAGAGAAACAACTCCAACTTAGTGGTCAGAGCAGCACTTGAACACGCAACCTCCAGATTTCAAGTCTGCGCCCTAACCACTTGGCCACGCATCCTCCTTAGTAGAAGAACTGTGTAAATTAACAATTTGATGTCAGTGTTTTATGCTTCTGTCCTCTTATTGATGGTAATGTTGTGTCACAACATTGTCAAAGTAATTGAGGAACCACGAGCCGCAGGCGAGTGGTTGTTCCACAGTAAACTTTGACAATGTTATGACAAAATTTATCATCAATAAGGGGACAGACGCATAAAAAACTGACATCAATTTGTTTTTTACAATAAGAAGACACCAAAATGGTCAAATGCTGGGAATAAATTCATGAGGGAAAAGAATTTTATTCAAAGTGATGCGATCATTGTCAATAGCTTTTCTGGCTTTTTGATTGGCTACTTAAAAAAATCCAGAAAATCTCATTGGTTTAAAAAGATGACAGTTTGACAGCTGAAAGTTGAACTTGAAAGCTTGCATAAATTAAAATTCTATCCGTCTGTACTCTTATTGATGATCAATCAATGAGCAAGAAATTAGACAGTTATTGTAAAAATTGACTCAGTGTTTGACAAATTTCTGAACACCTAAAAGTTTGTCAAAAATACTCTGCTGCACAACCTATCTTCAACCCTCTTCTTAGTGTTTGGAAATGTGGTCAAACAGTCGTTTGTGTTTGAAATATTACAAGCAAAACAAGAGATCTCCAAGTATACTGTACATTTAGTTGATATTTAGCTGTTTTTGGACTGAGTAACAAATTTATAGTGAACTCTCACTAATACCTGGTCACTCATTTGCTTTCTATAATTTATGCAAGTCAACCGAGGTATCATGATTATAATGCCTGTTCATTTTACCTCAACAGTTTTATCCTCAACTTCCACTGTTACTTTGCATTCATGATCCTTTGTTGTTTTGCCAGACTTCTTACAGTCCAAAGGCAGTCCACACATGCGTCGAAAAAGGGACGTCTTTCCCACACCAGTCTTTCCACATAATACAACCTTGTATGTATTGACCATTACACAGTCTGAATTCAGTGATACTCCACTGGCAACAGCTTTACAATGTGTATTTAAATGGCATATGCTCCACACATTAATTCACACTGACAGATTCTGGAAAGTAAAATAAAAAAAGCATTTTTTGAAAACTGATCAGAGAACTTTCTAACCATCTTTGAGATTTACCTACGGTATTACATGTACAGCAGTGTAACAGTATGTTGTGAAGTACATGTACGTAATGGTAGCCAAGCTAATAACCTCTAGTACTGCAGAATAACTATAATTTGATGATTGCCCGGCTCACCAAACTATCTGAATTCAAACCATAGTCATACATGTACATGTAACTACCTCCGCATAAATGAGCAGGAGGTCACGGCGAAATAATACAAAATAAATGCAAAGGGAAATATTAATATTTGTGTGGTGTATTGTATAATTATTGTATATATTAATATTGTGCAGCATGAAACAAGTAAATAATTGCTGCCAAAAATATCATACCACACAATATCCCACACAAATAGAAGCTTTAAAGTTTAAATATTAAATGAAAGCAGTCCTTCACAAGAAAATCCCAAGTGCAACTTCTGTCGAAGAAGTGAGTCACCCCTTCAAGAGTGTAAACACTGAAATACACATTTTTGAAAAATTATCTGCATTTTAAATAAAATTTTGCACCAGCTCCGTAAAAACTAAAATCTTAATTTACGATTTTTCGTCATACACTGCACCTCAGTACCAGAACAAAAGCTGCCGTAAGTTTTCAGCTATTGCTCTGGTGCTGAGTTAAGACGAAAAATCTTAAATTAAGATTTTAGTTTTTACGGCCGCGAAGAGCGCACTTAACACCAGACAACCTTATTTATATCTACCGCTACCGCTGCAAGCATTTGCAGGCCAGTTGCCAATGCAGTAGAGATAGACATCTTCATTCAAACTATACGTAACTCACCGAATCATCAATCAATTATTGAATTTCGGAGGAAAACGACCCACTGCAGCTGGGGACCTACATGTTTGTTGCCGAGGGTCGCTGAGGGTTTTTTGCTGAAATTTGAGCCGAATTAGCTTAGTAGCCTCGCCTTTTTTTTTTCGCCGAGCGTCGACTGTTAACTTTCACAAAACGGGTTTGCAATATAAATATGGCGGACATTGGACCTCCCTACATGTATCTTTTGAACTGTCATTTTCATCATTGATTTGACCCTGCATTTAATTTTACATGGTACAAGAAGCCCGCAAGGAACTACCAGTGTACAAGGTTGCCCTATGTGGTAAAAGTGGCGTTGGAAAAACCTCCATTTTTCGCAGACTTAGAGGCGATGGCTTCGAAATCGACACTTCCAAATTTCAACACTTGGCAGAAGAAAAGATCAAAGTCCAAGTTGAAGAAAAGAATATTATAGTAAGAAAACAGTTATTTATTTATTACGATTTAAGGACTACTACAAAGAATAGAATAAGCCTCATGGACGATCTGTAAAGGACGCAAAATCCCATATAACAACAGACCAACAAAATAGAAGAAAAAATATATAAACAAATAAGCTTGAGTAAGTAAATGATGATGATGATAATAATAATAATAATAATAATAATAATAGTACTAGTAATAATTATAATAATAATAATAATAAATAATAAAATAAAATCCCNAAACAG